ATATACATATATATACACATATACATATATACATATATATACACATATACATATATACATATATATACACATATACATATATACATATATATACACATATACATATATATACACATATACATATATATACACATATATATATATATACACATATATATATATATATACACACATATATATACACATATATATATATATATATATATATATATATGAAAAAAAACAAAACAAATCAATGTCTTTTTTTCTTTGAATTTAAATTCCAACATGTTTTTCTCTAAGTATATATAGATTTGTCTTTTCTTAAACAATAATACGTTCACATAATACAATGGCAAATCGGTTAGTAGATACTCTAAACTAAATATTTCTCACTGAAACATCAATGTAAAGACATAGAAGAAGCATAATGATTGTTTTCTCAAGAGTGACTTTAAGGCTATCCCTATATTCCAAACAATAGAAGCCCGACAGGTTGAACGATACATTATTACCTCACGCAATGTCGAACTTGAACCCGTCTTCTTCGTAAGGTTGCAAATATAACGACGGAGGCAACTGGTCCGAAACATAGAGCTTAGAGATAATACAATAATTACATGTGCACATGAACAGACAAAAACAAAACAAAACAGCTGGGCAAACATAACAGAGCTACGCTTTTTACGATCAGGTGTGGAAGTACTGTGCCGTATATGGTCCAGCACGTGGGTTTATTAGCTTGTGTTGGCTTCGAATAATTCGGTAAAATGATCCTGTACGTGAGACAGAAATGCCGATAAAGATTTCAGCGTGCACTCAAGAAAATATATGATGCAGAGAGTAAATGCAGAAACAAAATCACAAAGTGCCTGTTTGTAGAAACATTTGTGGAACATTTCGATCAACTTCAGTACATCGTAAGTTAAGTAGAGTGCAGCCCCGGGTGATCCATTGATCTGTAAACTGTAAACTATTCGGCCTTGTGATTTTGTTTCCTGCCTTTGAGCCATCAAGGCTGGAATTGAAATGAAGAAATCAGATTTTTTTTTTTACCAATGCCACTCTGGACTACATCACAAGGACTCTTATGAACACTTTAGTCAGAGCTTTTCTTGCATGTTGCCAAGTGAATCAGGTGTTTCTGCCGTGCACTTTTAACAACAAAGCAATGACCTAATCAAGTGCTTTCAACTTATCTCACCCCTATTTGCTTTCTTTTTCCTTTTATAACCAGTTAAGTTGGAACCGAAGAGGGCTAGTGGAAACATTTCAACTCAACAGAAGTAACCAAACATGTAGCAAGTGCTCCGTTACACACACACATACAGTGCAAGTGGCTCACTTTTGGTTTTCAGCCCCTCCCGCTTTGGTGAACAGATCATCGCAAGAAAACACAAAGATATTTTCTTCCCTTTGGGAAGGTGTACATGTTGGTTGAGGAGGAGGGCAATCTGTCTCTCTGTGTATGTGAGGAAAGGTGTTCATCTCTGCTGACGTCAAGCTTCCCGTGCTGTCAGGAAGGTCTTTTTAACACGCGCTCTTTAGCAGGAGGTCGGTAAATAGTCTCGGTTCGCCACAAGAGAAAAAAAAAAAAAAAAAAAAAGAGAAATACATCAGCAACAATAAACATTGTAAACACCGTAACAAAAGAACCATAAAGAATAAGATATAGAGTTTTTGGTTGCAAAGTTGTGTAATGATCGAGAGAAGCTATTGAGACTGTATTCAGTATAACTCCATGTTTTAGCTGCTGGTTTTTGCTTTCTTTAGATTCACATCCCTGATAAAAGATAAAAGAAAATGAATCAACGGGATAAAAAAGTGAGATAGAAAACTGTCTTCTGCTTTGATTGTGTGGGAATACCTGTGTTTGTTTGTTTGTTTGTTTGTTTGTGTGTGTGTGTGTGTGTGTGTGTATGCTGTTGCTCTTCTTATGTGGTAAAAGTCGGGCATGGTCCATCTGCTTTCCCTGACTGTAAATTGTATATTTTTTGCATTGATCATTCACCATGTGTGTCTCAACCTGCCGTACATTCCCCCTCAGAAAGCTGTCAGGAGTGAAAAACAAGTGAGGAACTGAGAGAGGCTGTGATGTCGGAGAGATAAAAGATCTCCTCAAAAAGTCCTCAGAAATAAAACAAAGACAAGTTGAAGGAAGAACAAAAAAACGGCGAGCTTTTCCTCCATGCGGTTTCATAACGTGCTTCAAAAACTGCAGCAAAGGGGCCCATTCTTCTTCTGGTTTAAAAAGGTGAAGATGTTTTTCCTTTTTCTTTTGACAAAATACACAAAAAAGCTTTTGGCCTTTTTTCTGGACCCCTTCATTGACTGGACTTTTCCTTTAAAGACCAGAGCTTTACACAACATAGAAAGATGCAACACTGAACCCAACATAAAAAAAAACAACAAAAAAGCAGGAGGAACCATAGATCTATTTTTTTCTTTACACTGTTTAGCTGCACTGGGGTTTCCCAAAACTGGGAATGGTGGGAATGGCGAGGCAGTGCTCGGAATCTCGGACGGCAATGTAAAAATGACTCTACTGTCCTTTGGTTCCTTCTACGGCTGGAGTTTAGTGGAGCTGAGGGGGGGGGGGGGGGGGGGG